ACGATAATCGTGGGGAATCCCGCGATCGTACGATAATCGCGAGGTGTGTGGAAGGCGTGCGACCGTTTCTACTGTACGGTCGCACGACTTGTCTTACGGACATGTTTGAAAACCCGCCGAGAATCGTACGATTTTCGGCTGGTTTGTGGCGTGCTCGTAAGATCATTGCGGCACGGGCCGGTGAGCGCACGCGCACACTGCCCGTTCGGCATTGCGGTCATCGGAAGCCTGCCCCTCAGGGGGGCGTGGCTTGCGATTATCGCAAGTACGATCTGCCTGTCGAAGATTGGCAGATCGTAAAGTTTTTTTTGTTTTTTTTTAATGACCTTACAACCATCGCAAGACAAAAGTCCTGCGATGGTTGTAACGTCTATGGACACCTGTAGAGAGATTTCCCCTCACTTCCTGTCCTGGTGACAATGGTTTACCAGCCAGGAATTAAATGGAACTTTCCTGTAATAAGAAGTGATTTATTTAATCGGTTAGGGGAAGGCGCTTTGTGTCCTTGTTGCAGCATTTTCCTCGCTTCCGGTCTGGTGACATTGTCAGAAATTGAGGGGTAACGGACCCCCCAGGCAGCTGAAAGGGAAACCGTATTTCTTCTTCATCCACCGAGGGACACAGGCCCTAAACCTTTGGGTTTTACTGCCTCCTACAGATTCCGTTTCTAATTTGCCTGCAGCAGCCACGAAGATTCTGAATCACTCGGGTCCATGACTGCTGAGCTGACCCCTGAGGAGCCGCAGGCTTTGAAGGAGATTATGGCTTCCAGTTTACTCACCAGATCTGGCCCTCAAAGCCTTCCTGGGCATGAAGGTGCACCCCTACCTTCCAAAAAGGGGGGGCATTTGTGAACCTTTCTAGAGGCTTAGCCTGCATCTCACACATTTGAGGGCAGGAGGTGGTATCCTATTGGGGGCTTTTGCTCCTTGCCCGCTCCTCGGGTTTTTCTACCTACGACCACCGCCCCCAGATTGTCTCCATCAAGCCCCCTCGGGTCTTCTGGACTAAAGCGTCTTACTTCCTGCGGCAGAACGGTTTCAGAGGTTTTGTTCCCGCCCGCTGCGTCCGCTCCATCTTGTATGTGGAAACTCTCCGAGTGTCTTCACTTGGGTCCAGACATTCCACGTAAAATCCCCCCAAAATCTCTCATCGCCTCCGTTTGCCGGGAAGACCGGCTTGTGTGGGCATCAAGTATGCCGACCTTCATGTCCCGCCATCTTCTCTGCGCATCAGCAACACCTACTCATTGCTGGGGGGCCACCCCCCGCACAGCCACTCGGGCCCCTTATCTACACCTCGGATGGCCCCAGATCCTCTTCTCCATATCCTGGACCTTCTGGTGGTTTGGGCTGTGCTAGGGCCATCCTACCGGAGGGTCACCGGATTCGGTTGGACAGAGTCATGGCGGCGGAGAACATCAATCATGGGGAAGTCTCGCCTCGGTAAGAGTGGCCGCCCGGGGCAGAACCTCCACATCTTCTCAGCCACGCACAGTACGTTCCAGGCGTGGACCGGCGGCAGGCAGATTTCCTTAGATATGGGGGAGCGATCCCTACACCCTGAGATGTTCCCGGACCTGTACTGCAGGTGGGGGGACACCGGATGTGGACCTCCAGGTTCCACAACAAACTAGACAGCCGTGTCTCCAGGTAGAGACGCTCTGGTGGCCCCGCGGGATCGGTACAGCCAGATATACGCTTTCCCTCCTCCTGATCTGCTTCACAGGGCTTACAGTTGCTGACCGGCCCAGGTGGATGTGGTACGACGACCTGGAAGGAGTTCTGGCAGATACTCCGTGGGCACTGCCAGATCTTCAGGATCTTTATGTCTCCCTTGTAGCCCCTCCCCCCCCCCCCCCCGCGCGCCCCACGCGAGGCGATACTCCATGCAGCCTTCACCTCTGAGATGGACTTGATGTTCCCCTCTCTACGTTCCCCCAGTGTCCGAATCGATGGGCTCATCCTGCGACGGCTCCGGCTGGGTACCGGGGGAAGGCCGCGTTCTGGCTGGAGAGGCCCCCCTGGGGGGTGACGGGCTGGACAAGGTTAATCGGGAAGCCGGGTGGCGAGTCTTTACACTCCGCCTGGCTTCCTGAATGGGACTTCCGGTACTCTGTAGTTGGTATCGGCGAGTACCGGAAAAAAATGATCGTTACCAAAATACCGGTATGGGTGCGTCCCTACTTCTTACCTAAGGAAGTTTCTGCCTTTCCCTTCAGCCGGGACATTGTTCTTCCGTCCATCGGGGACATCTCCACATCACCAAAACAAAGGTTTCCTCCATTGTGTGGATATGGTTTATCTGCTGCTCCCGCCAGAAAGACCGATTCCCGTTTCATCATCCCGGATGGACCCGCCCCCTCTCTAGGCGGCTCGGCCCAGGCTCCGCCCTTTCCTGTGAAGACACTCTATAGCAGCGGTCGCCAACTGGTGGTCCGTGAGAAAAGTTTGGTGGTTCCCCTCTGATGCCGTGCAGGGCTGGGCCGTCATTGAAGCGGCACGGAGGCTCCGGGGGCCGCCTAGATATATTCTCATACGTGTGTGTGTGTGTGTACACACACACACACACACGTATGAGAATATATTTATATACGAGGGGAAAAAAATCTGAGAATATACCGTATTTTGCGCTCCATAAGGCGCACCGGACCATAGGACGCACCGGACCATAGGACGCAGGCAGGCTCTGTGACAGAAGCTGCAGTTAGTGACGGCTGAGACAGGGGGCGCTGTGATGATTACATTGTGACTGCAGCGCCACGGTCTCAGTGATCGCACAGAGCAGACGAAGAACGTCCGTTCCATGGTGAGCCCCTGTGCCGTGGTCACGGGTCCCCCAGAGGAGCGGGGGACTCCAAAAAAACACGGCGGGGGGGGGCCCAGGACTCGATCGCTCTTCTTGGTACATGTTCTCTAAGTTCTACCAGGAGGAGGTTTTGGCCTCATCGGATTCCAGCTCTCACCATAAGACCCTTCAGGACAAGGTAAGCTGCAGGCGATCCCCGGCCTCTCATAGGTTTTCTTGGGCCTGTTAGCAGTTATTTGCTGTCGCCCCCCCCCTCAGTTGGGCTGCTTTTGGGTGTCCAGAAGGTTTACGACTTCCTGTGTCCCTTGATCTTAGAGCCTATTGGGGGACGCGGGCTCCGCCCCTCTGTGCCGATGATCATGACTTCAGTACTGCTTTGCTACAAAACTGAGGCACGAGCTTATCGTGGGCTGGCCTACAATGTTCAATGCTCCTGTAGGTGGCAATATACCCAAATGTTTAACACTTCCTGTGTCCCTCAGTGGGCAGAAAATTATTTTGAGTACAAAAATCCCATTTTTTTTCCAGATGTTATTGGATCATTAGCTGTAAATGAGTTCATTTGGGTTTATAATGATGTTTCTGCCTTACAAGTGATGTCACTGTTGCCTGCATGTAGTTTTCAGTGGGCAGGTGGTCATCAGTATGCTGCAGGCAGGAGGAAGCATTTCCTCAGTCTCCCCTCCCCCAGTGATCAGTCTGCTGCAGGCAGGAGGAAGCATTTCCTCAGTCTCCCCTCCCCCAGTGATCAGTCTGCAACATTGTAACTTTGTATCCAGTCACAGGGGCTGATCTGTGTCAGACATTTGTGAGCACAGTCAAGAACTGCACAGACACTGGGATTTCCATGTACTCCCCTCCCCCAGTGATCAGTCTGCTGCAGGCAGGAGGAAGCATTTCCTCAGTCTCCCCTCCCCCAGTGATCAGTCTGCAACATTGTAACTTTGTATCCAGTCACAGGGGCTGATCTGTGTCAGACATTTGTGAGCACAGTCAAGAACTGCACAGACACTGGGATTTCCATGTCCCGCGTGATGCCTGAACAAAGGCAGTGCCGTCCTTCTGGAGAGAAAAGCAGATGAAGGCATTGTCAGGGGGAGTCATGTGATGTCTATGAGAGGTGATATATACCTGGAGGAGGTCACATGACACATCACTTGTATGGACTTATGAGATATATCTGATATCTTGTTTTATGCCTAGTTTGGATCGCCCCGGCGCTGCAGATGCCGAATGCCGTGAGTCTGTGTCTCGGATTTCCCCCGAATCGCCTCAGACAGAGAAATGGACGGCACGGAAATAGGTTGCGGCTCGTCGGCGCGGGAACAAAGAGCCGCCGTGTTGTTTCCTAATTCCGCCGAGGAATTTATTAATCTCGTCGTCTCGTATCCAACGTTCCTCATTCAGGAAGTTCTG